GGTATGTGTATATCAATGAAGTGAGTAAATGTACTTCCATTGTAAACCCTTGATAAGTAGGCCTTTTTTGTCCCGGTAATAATAAGAAATGTATTCACATATGTATGGTTAGTTTGTGGGATCTACCTATACATACACACACACACACACACACATACATATATATATATAGTTACTTTTATGATACATTTTAGACGTGCATTTTTATTTTCTTACATTATACTTAATAACAAACAACTTTATTTATTTTTCTTAAAAATATAAATTCAAACTCAAACATATATATATATATATATATAGCAATAAAAAAAAAATACAAATGTTAAAAGTACATAAATATAAATATGTAAAAAAATAAAATAAAAAAAGACCCATCAATTACCCATGTTCCCATTTATGTTAGAGATTTCAAATTTGAATTTTATGTGATGAAAAAGTATTATATTATATTATTGTACACCTATACAATATATATATATATATATGTATATGTATGTGTGTATGTATGTGTGTATGTATACGTTGGGTTGGCAATAATTGAAAATTAATGAAGGTCATTTTCAAAAAAATCATTTAATATATATATATATATATATATAGAAAAATGGTGTGTAGTGATTGAGGAGAATGAATTGAGTAAATGCATGTTGTTGAAGTTTTAGTGATTGAATGAATTAATGCTTCATAAGTTGATTGTCAACATGGATATGTAAACAATAATTGCACTCACGAAGGCAGTTGGAGCTAAATGTGATCCTCTTCCAACCCCACATAATATATTTATTCATCATCAACCTTACATCCCTATACATACACATATACATACACATACACATGCATACAACACCATTCTTGTTTCTCTTTCTAATGTGTATATATATATATATATATATGTTCTTATTTTTAAAAATACCCTTAAAATTTTTAAAAAATATTGGTTTTATTTTAATTTAAATATTAATTTTATTTTATAGAATAATCATCAAATATTCAAACATGTTCAAACTCGTAAAATAATATCAAGATTTCATTTATTACAACTTTTAACTACGAAATTAACGTTTCAAAAATATTTTTTCGATTAAATATATAAAACGTAAAATAATTTAGGTGATAATTAAAGACAAAACATATTTTGATAATTTTAAAATTAAGTCACTTTTAAAAAATAAATTTAATTTTTTACTTAAAAATTTTGAATATCTTAAAATTATTATTATTCAAAATATGTAAATAGACGTATATATTCACCCAAAGGTAATGTGGGGGCTCAACAACGAATAAGAATAACTCGTATTACACATGAAGTCGACTATGTATGTACCGTAACTGGTATACTTAATATTTTAGCAGCTGTGTATATCAAAATCATTAAAAGTAAATTCTTTAGTTTTAATCTTAAACCACTCATCTGGTGAAGCACACTAGTTAATATCATGATTGCTAATGTGGTTCTTCGAGCGAAGATCCTGACGAGTCTAGCGTACTCCGTCTAAAACTCTAAGGCGAATCTTGATCCCTATACGTACGTTGCGTCCGCGAAAATAACTTTAAAATTAGTGGTTTCGTGCATGTTAATCCCTATACGTACGTTCCGGTCTATCAATATGTCAAACGTTTAAAATATTAGTTTGAACGAGAGCGTGAATGATTGCTAGATCAGAACTACTCGGTTCAACCACCAATTTTATATGGTAATAAAATCAATTCGCGCGTATATTTTCGTAACTGAAATTCGAAAACTTTACAATTATTGACTCCGTGACACGTATATATCATGTAACCAAATAATAATAATAATAGAATAATATTCCTTTAAATCAACATGAAATAATTCAATGTTTGGAAAACAATAGTCATATTTTCGTATACTTGACAAAAGAATCAAGCCGCTGCCCTAATTTTGACTTCAATAGCAATGTCACAACTCTTACCCATGATGGCCATGTGGTTTTTGGGGCCAAATTTTTTGGATTTACTTTATTTTATCCTAAATATCACATCCATTAGTCAATTCTATAGTTATTTCCGAATAAAATCATATATATATACATACATACATACACATATATACTAATATCTTCGAATAATTTTCAATATCAATTATATAAATAAAATATAATTTGAAAAAAAATAACACATGTTTCTTAATAATTTATGATACGGAATAAATTTTTCTTTTATATATATATATATACACACATATTTAATTTTGTATGGTCAATCGTTATCAATTATTTTCTTATTATAAGCTAGCAATTAATTAATAATCAATTACGTAATTAATTAGAACATGCATTTAGCTTACCTGTCACACATTAGGGAATTCTAATCCTTGCTTAATTCACGTGTAAGGCTCAATATAAATCATAATTAAGACTAAGTTGTCTAATTAAGCTACATAATTTAATTATAATAATATTAAACAATAATCTAATTACCCAAGTCATCAAATAAATAAAACAATGCACACACACACACACACACACACACATATATATATATGTATTTAAAATCGATATTATTATAAACTAATACACTAAAGGATTAATTACAACTTTTGAAAATTATTATATTTTAATACGGTGTAACAATTAATTTTATTTTTCCGAAAAATGTCATTTGAAAAAATTAAATTATAAATTTAATTTATAAAACAGCATTGACCCACGAAGGTAAATTCTTATAATTTTAATTAACGCGTAATACATACTATATTTGCTTTATATATTATAAAGTATTATATTATATTATATTATATTATATTACAAGCTACAATAATAATTTGATTAATTTAATTCACATACGTCTCCAAGAATTCGAATTTCTAGAAAACATTTGAAAATCAACGGGTGGGCGGTATCACTTGCTAGTATGTATATATGTGTATATGTGTATGTGTGTGTGTGTGTATATATATATATATATATATATATATACATATGGACACACACACACACACACACATACACACACACATATACGCGCGCGCGCGCGCGTGCGCGCGCGCGTGCGCGTTCTTGACTGGTAAATTACTGAACGTGTGCATATTTGTATGCTCTCGTTTGGTTTATATAAGACTGATGTGATACAAAGTTA